TGGTCTTCTAACACTTCACTTGACCATCTGGTGCTTTTGATTACTTCATGCCCTATGTCACAGATGAAGTCTATGGCCTGTCACATCTAGTAGGTAGTAAATCTTTTTGAGGTCAATGTCTGTATCTTTTGTTTCTTGATATTGCTCCCAATCACATAGGATGGTGCCTTGTAATAAATACTCATTCACTAAATGAATACATTAAAATTGTCATTGATGGGGATGGAGAGATGGCTCAGCCATTAAAAGTACACAGTGCTTTTGCAGAGGACTAGAGTCAGTTCCTATCAATTGTGTTGGGCAGCTCACAACTACTTGTGATGCCAGCTCCAGGGGGTTAGATGTCCCTGGCCTTCACAGGCATCTGTACTCACATGCATATACTCACACACAGTCATACACACACACACACACACACACACACACACACACACACACATACACTAAAATAAATCTTTTAAAATGTCATTAACATGTAAATCACATAAACATTGCATGCAAAATAGTAGTAATAGTGAAACTCTAGACAGGTATGTGAAATGGATAATGGATGGTGTGCCAGTCTGCTTTATATGTCCTTGATTGTGACCACAGGGCCACACAGCAGTTCTGCAGTGAAGGTGCCTTCTTTATGGTTTAGAGGCAAGGCAGAAGGGTGCATTCTTGCTTCCTCTCTTGCTTTTAGTGTTCTACAACACAATGTGGTAACTCTTCTGGTTCCAGTGGTCCAGCAGGGATCACACTAGAGTTCCAGGTCCCATTTTGGGTTCCATTTCTCTTCCAAACACACATCATATACTGTTATTTTCCTGCTTACTACCATTATGAATGGTTCATGCCATCTTGGCATTGAGTTACCCATGTACCAATTATTTTCCTCAGGTCATCTCTTCACTTTAGTATTTATCATCCGAGAAAACATGGTGGTTTGTTTTTACTAAAATTCCCTTGGGGGTATGGTCTGAAGGGATAGACAGTATGTAACTTGCATCCAGATAACACAAAGATTTTTTTCTGTTGTTTATGCTTGTCTTCCCCTGCTAGACAAAAACAGAGATCTCTGTTCTAAAAACAAAAATCCAGCCAGAGTAGGGCTAGTTGATTGGGGTTTTCTGTAATCTAATAAAGCAAGTTTAATGACTCAAGAGAGGCCGGCTGTACATTGCAGTTCACAGCTCATGAAAAGACATACTATATTAATTTTTAAGCTGGGTCTCTTAGGCTGAGTTATATTATTTTGGTAATGCCTTCCCTGAATGAACTGCTGTTATTTGAGCTCCAACATCACAAACCTACCATAGGAAGAGAATCCTCATATATGAGTGAGTTATTGAATTCCAACAGGCTTTTCTCCATCTAGGAGGAGACTGGCTGGGGGATGGACAGTCTTAATCCTTTAGGGTAAAATAAATATTTGTATATATTCAAGTACTCCTCATCTACTAATAAATGTGGGTAGTGAGCACTAGGGATATCTCCTATAATACTTCAATGTTCCACATTCATCAAGGAGAAACTCCAAACCCCTTCACACAGCATACAGAGCCTGGTGCCTGGCTCTAAGCCTGCCTCTTCTCACAGTCTTTTCCCATTCTCCTTCAGGACACCAAATGTCCCAACTGGCCTTCTTACAGGCTTTCTGCTTGGACTATTACATATCTTCTCCTATATCTATCTCACTGTTAGTAATGGTGGATTGCTGAGTGAAAAACAGGGCATGAGTGGATGCTCTCCCTGAATCTTACAACCAGCCAGCCAGAAGTACTATGATTATTCTCATTTCATAGACAGAGAAAACAGGCTTGGCAAACTTAAGAGCACAAGCAGTTCCATACAGCTATTAAGTGGAGGCATAGAGAGGAAAAGCAAGTGATCTTACCCCAGAGCTCAGTCTAGGTTGTCCCTCCTCCTAACAAGCAAAGGAAGCTTAGCAATCTTCTATGATTAATTAGACACTGCTGCAGAAAGCTCTGGTCATTCCACTTATCCACTCCTAGCACTTATTATCTGCCCCTCCCACTCACTCCCCCCCACCCAAAACTGCTTGTTTTTTGTTTTGTTTTGTTTTGTTTTTTGTCTGTGTCTCCAACCAGCCTTAGAGACCACAAGGCAAATCATGTAGGTCCTTCTTGTTCTATACCCAATTGTTCCTAAGAAGCCCAGAGTTTAGTAGATGCCCAGAGTCTTCAGAAGAGTAAACTTCTCTCCTCACTTCCTTTCAATGCCATGCCACTGGAAACCCTGTGCAATTCTTTGCACAGGAAAAGGTTAATCCACTTACTGATGCCAGGTTCAAGTAGGAATTAGTGACTTCTCCTTTTGGGGAGGAATCCAGAATTATGTGAGCAGACTAAGGCTTTCTTGTGGTTGGTAGGGCCTGGTCATAAGGATTAAGGCTATTGCTCAATTAAGCTTTTGCTCACTCCAGCTGTCCCCATCCCCCACCACCAGATTGTCCTTGGTAGGAAACAAAAAGCAGGAAGTAGCTGGTCACTTTGCAGAAAATTCACTGAGCGATTATCCTTCACTTGACTGGTTTCCTAATACTACGTAATATTGAAGGTGGAAGAGACACTGGGCTGTAGATCATTTAACCCCTTTTCACTGAGAAAGAAAACTGAAACTGAGGGGTGTCCAAATTCATCCACAGTGAATGGTCTAGCCAGAGCTGTGATCTATATTTTTCATTTAAATACCAAATTATTGACTACACTTTAAACATTACAAAAACGTTTAAAAATATATATTTACTTTTTTTGAGAATTTCATACAATGCACTTTGATCATATTCACATCCTCTCCTCCAGCTCCTTCAAGATCCACCTACCCCATCTCTCTACCCACCCAGTGTCATGTCTGGAAATAGTCTATGTCACCCCATCGCAAAAGCACAGTTGATTAGGTGAGAGAGAACATGCAGAGTCTATCTGTTTTTAAATTTCCTTTTTAAACAACAAATTCCCTTTGCTAGCTAACACTCTACTCTGATAATTTTAATTCATGTACCCTTGTGACCTAGTCACCTCTTAGGCTACATCTTTCTGTCTATAATGTATTGAGGGATGAACTTCTGGAAGATACATTCCTGCCATAGAAGTAAGTTTGGGGATGGTAATTTCATTTTCATGTGTAGGTCTCATAACCCCATCATACACTGTCTAAAGCACATCTCTCTCTCCTTTGTGTAACAAAGATAGGCCTTACTTTTCAAAAAGTCAACATGTTTTCAAGCTGATATGGCACAATAAAGAGCAATTCCTGTGTGAGTCCAATTCATTCTGCAATGTTCAAATACCACCTCTGAGTAGTTTGGGTGGTTTTTAAAAGAAAGTGACATTGACTCTCATTAGTTGTACCTTCTGGGCTTCGATGGATGCACATGGAGAGGACTGTGCTCTTGCTTACATTTTTGGGCAGCTTTGGATGCATAGCTCAGATGAGCTGGCATTAGGATGTCTGACTGTGCCCCCATCCCACTAACCTTAACTCTTGATTTAGCTCATTAAAAGCAGACATTAAACATTTAAGTCCCATTACCAACATTACCTGAGAAAGATCTCTTTTCCCAATGTTGACCTTGCCTAGAAATTTGGAGAAATTATTTATTCAGAAATATTTTCTTCATTATAATTCTATTGTGTAGTAATAGCAAACCTTTGGAAGAACCAAATTTTTGCCTAAATTTGAATCAGACTGTTACTCTCATTTGAAAGACACATTTTAACTTTATAGTTTAATTACAACAGTAATGGGAGATTTCTTTAATAATTCTTATGGTATTAAAGTTTCTTGATTTAACAGATTTTTGAAGCTACCAAGGATTGAACCCAGGGCTTCATGTATGCTAAACATGCTCTCTTAACCCCTGAGCTATATATTCCCACATACCTAGCCAGGTCCAGTAGATTTTTAATAACATCCAATGTCACCAGAAACTTTCCTTATTTCTGATCTCTATTCAAAAATAAAATCCATCTGATTCTTTGGAGCAATGGCTTAAGTTACCTGAGGCCAGGTTAATTTTGTCCCTGTGCTCTAGAATAGCCCCATTCAGTGAGCAACATACCTGTCTGTTTAATTAATATGTACTAGGTCTTCTTTCAAGGCCAAGCAGGCTCAATTATGGGTTCTAGCTAATTTTACCCCTTTCTTCTTTGCATCACATCCTGCTCCCCCTCACCTCCGCCTCAGTCCTATGTGCTTACAACAGAAGTTCAATAAGAGACTAGCACTGGGCATGATAACATTAACTAGGACAGCACAGAAAAGCTGAGGGAGGGTGGGGGGTGCTCAGAGAAGGCAGAATAATGTGGCTCCTGCTTTGGGCTTGGAGAAGTTTACACAGCGAATATGTGAAGTTTATTCCATTTGTTATGACTGAACACGATTTTTTTTTTCTTCGTATGAGAAACCGTATCTAAGTGGGGTCACTACAGTAAAGAGAAGTGTTATTGTCTTATTGATGCCAGCAAAGCCTGTTAGGGACTATTAATTTTATTGTTCATTTAGGCATGCATGGTTGCCACAGCAACAACATTAGTTCCTTCCAGTCCTTTGTGCAGTGAGCATCTGTTGAGAACCTTGCAAAGGTGTCTGTGTCTCTCTCTTTCCTGTTGCAGATTGGACCCCTTTCTTGCTCTCCTTATGAGCAACCTATTTATCAAGCATATTCCCCAAGAAGACACTTCTGGAACCAGGCAAAGAAGAAATCTACAGGACAATGAAGGCTTTTCTTTCCTGTAGGCTTCTGCAGAAGAATGGATGGTTTGGGAGTTAGAGGATAATTAAAAATCTTGGGTCAGCTGAAATGTGAATAACTCCTTGGCAAAGTTCACAGCCAATCTTTTACACAGGCTAGCCAGGATTCTGAGTGTCTTGATTAAAGCCAAAATTGTAAATTCTAGCTCAAACTCCCAGTGGCATGCAGTAATAGGGTATACTTTTTTGCCAGTGATTTCATATTCCAAGATCTTCTTCTTCTTTTTTTTTTTTTTTTTTTTACGTAAATTAACCCATTTATTAGAGGCTGGGGGTCTCAAGCAATAGCATTTCTACTGGTCTTTCAGTTCCTTCAGTCTTCTGATGGCAGACTTCACTGTGACGGCAGAAGTAGTGTTGTACGTCCAGGCCCCACCTGCCACGGTCTTCATGCAGGAACCACAGTGCCAGATGCCAACTGCTCGTCTCTTCATCTTGGTCTTGCCACAGAAGGAGCAAGTGTACTTGGCGTGCTGGCTGATTTCAATTTTCTTCACCATTTTCCGGAGGGAGGCACCATAGCGGGTCCCGTATTTCCCAACGATCCCGACCTTCTTGGTGCGTTTAGCCATGTCGCCGGAACCTAAGCCCAAGCCCGGAGAGGAAGAGACGCAGTGCGCAGGCGCGGTTTTAGACAACCAGCGGACCCAAGATCTTCTTCTTGAACAATATAGATTTAAGAAAATGTGGCTCTCCCAACACTCAACCAGGGGCTGATACAGACAGATTAGAGCCTAATGGTGGTGGCCCATGCCTTTAATCCAGCACTTGGGAGGCAGAGGCAGGTGGATCACTGTGAGTTTGAGGCCAGTGTGGTCAACAGAGGGAGTTCCAGGGCAGGCTCCAAAGCTATAGAGAAACTCTGTCTTAAAACTCCACCCCTACCCCCCAAATATTAGGTGTTTTTGAAGTCTTCAGTTGTTATGAATAGACAACTGTGTGAGTTCATATCTTTGATTCTGTCCTAAATCATTTCCTCTGTTAATTTATACAGTTGAACTATAGGAGAATTTATAGATAGATTCCATTACTAGCCAGGGGAAAGCTGTCGGACCTGGGCAGGATGTCTTTTAAAAAGATTATTGTATATTTATATAGTTATTTACTTTTTGGTTTTTCAAGATAGAATTTTCTGTGCAACCTGGCTTTCCTAGAACTCCCTCTGTAGACCAGACATGGCCCGGGGCATATATTTAGTTTTTAATTGTGTGTGTGTCACACGTGGATGTCAGATAACTTGAGGGAGTCAGTTCTCTCCTAAGTGTGTTTTCCCCTATCCATCTAGCCAGCCCTAGGCTGTCTTTTACATTGGTTGAGAAGAAATACTGTAAATGCATGTAGAATCCTTAGTTGAAACTTAACATGTAAATGTTAGGGCACCTGAATGAGTGAGTTTATCAAAACATCATTACAGTTTCCTCCTCCTTCTGTCATTACTCTAATCATGCTGATCGAGAATAGAGTTTTGTATTCATTTTTGCAAAGAACTTACTCATTCCTCTTCAAAATTCTTACCTAATGATACCTATTGTTCAATCATAAGTAATACTTAACAGTAAAATCTTTTACTTGGAGTAAATTATCTTTGAGAAAGATTCAACTTGGGATTCTCTGTTGATCAAGAAGTTGAAATTGACATCCCCTCCTCAGTTCTAGGGAAGGAACTTTTATGCCAAATAACATCCTTAAACAGGAGTGGGAAGGAATTTTATGCCAAATAACATCCTTAAACAGGAGTGCTGAGGTTAAGATATTGGAGTTTCCACAGGGCGGTGAATATGGTACTCTGGCAAGCCTTTGTGTGGATTCTTGGGACTCATTTCTCTAGGGCTGCCCAGTGTGCTATGGTTCTGCATTTATCAGCACTGAGCTTTCCTTTTGCTTTCGTTTATCTGGGATCATAAGATCACAGTACTTTTGAATTAGAAAACACAGTCTCCTCTTGTCCATTCCTGTCCTCAGAACTTGTCAATACTTGGCTATGCTTTCATATCATCTACCTTTAAAAGCTTGTTTACCTAGATATGTTGACAGCTTGACACAGAACAACAGTTTTGCTAAATCCAAACTATTATACCAATGTGGTTTTAGCAAAAACAGCTTAATACAAGTAAGGTGTTTTGTTTGTTTGTTTGTTTGTTTGTTTTCTACAGCTCTGATTTAAATTCATAGATTGACCCTGGACAGATCTGAACTTTGCTAGTTCTCAGTCTTCATCTATACAAGGAGAACAGAATTCTCTCAGAACTTCTTGTGACATTACCTGAGATGATGTGTGGGATGTGGGAGATGTTATATGTATATGTGAGCTAGTGGCTGTTCATCCTGCCTGCCTGCCTGCTTTTAGAGTCTACATCAGCCTGGTAGCTTTCATCTCAGTCTCCCTGGACTAAACTATTTTACTACTACTAGAAGCATATGTTGCAGAAATATTTATACATAACATGCAACAACACATGTTAACTAACACTGTTACTAAAAAGCTGGAGACAATATTAATTTTATCCATTAGGGAGAAAGTTAAATAAATATCCACATAGTGGGATACACTGCCATTGATGCATTCTGCAACTGCAAAGAAACAACTTCAAAACAGATGGTATATGAAAAATCATTTCATCAAATAGTATATAGTGTATGATCTCACTTCTGCTCAATCAAACCATACAAAAATTCAACAAGCCATACCTGGGCATGGGAGCACATTTATATATAACTTGGTACTGTCCCATGTCACCGAGCTATCTCTTCTTATTGCACTCTGTAGTAAGTACAAAGAATAGAGATTATGAAATGAGTCTTGAGTTCGGGAGTATTGCTTCAGTAGAAGAGGGTATGTTTAGTATACATAAGCCCCTCGGTTCAATCTCCCAGGAGCCCCCTTCTACCTCCAAAAAGAGTTTTAAGGTCCCAATGATGAGCTTCATATTCTTGTTGTGTTTATGGGCAAAGGGCACCTTATATGTGCTTCATTTTCTACCTCTAAGAGATTGGACATTTTTACCTAAAATTGATGATTTTAAATTTGTAAAAATTTTCTAAATTTTAGATTGTGTTTTTATTCTGAAACACAGGACAGCATCAGAAGCTCTTGGGAAAACTGAATATATAACTGAATATAGTTGTTTAGTGGCTCTCGTATTATTTCCTGTGTCAACTGAAACTCCCTGGTTAGGGGCTTTGTGACAGTTTCTGTCTGCTACAGTAGTCACCAAAGTGTTAGGTTCCATCAGATCCTGAAGACATCTGTTTTAAAGGAATAATACTTTTGCTTTTCTCCTTCTTTCTCTTTTTTTATTTTAATAAAGTCTGGCTATGTAGCCCAGGCTGGCCACAGACTCCCAATCCTTCCGTCTCAGCCTCATGAGTACTAGGATAACAGGTGTGTGCCATCACCCATGGCAGAATTATTGTCTAACAGCAGCAACTCAAATATTTCTATTAATTAATTGAATTAACATAATGATAAATTACTTGCTAACCCAACAGTTGTTGAGTATCCATTACTCAACAGCCAACAATGGCTGTTACACAGTGAAGGCTTATGTGAATACATAATTGGATTGAGTCCCCTCTACCTCTCAGTTTCAACTGGTACAGTTTTGTATTCGGCTTTTAATGGACTCGATGCCACTTGTAATCCTGCTATGAAGACCAGGTGAAAACTGTGAGAAGTCAGCAGGGACCAGAAAAGCTGATGGAGCGTGATATGCTCCAGGTGATGCAACAGCCCAGGCAGAACTTGAACATCTTGTTCCCTGATTGAGAGATCTGGGATCATTGCTCTAGTTACCAGCAGGCCCAAAGCTTACATAGTGGGCCCAGGGCTCAGAATATTATCTCACTGATAACACTGCCCGAGTTGGAAGCTTAGCTTCATCACCGAACAGCTGGTTACTTTGGCAAAGTACCTTCTCTTTCTGACTCAGTTTCATCATCTATTAAGTAGAATACTATAACCTTGTTTTGTTGATAAATAGACATAGTACACTTACTGTATGCAGCATGTAATTAACACATCTAAGAATCCTCAAATTGTGGCTATGATTATTTTAAAGTTAATTGTATCAAACTGTAGTTAATAATGTATTACACACACACAATTTTGAGACAAAGTCTCACTATGCTACCTGGAACTTACCATGTAGACTAAGCTGATCTTGAAGTCACAGAGATGACCTGCCTCTTTCTCCTTAGTGCTAGGATTAAACGATTGAACCACCATGCCAACCAATAATATATCATATTTTTGAAAATTGCTGAGTAGATTTTAAGTGTTTTTTACTACAAAAATTAAAATTATATAGTACATATATTAATTGGTTTGACTGTGCCAACCTACGATGTGTATTTCAAGACAACAATATTATTCATGATTAATATATACATTATATATGTAATTTTTGTCAATTTGAAAATAAAATCAATCTTATCAAGAAATGAAGCAATTGGACCTACAGTATGAAGGCCAATGAAATCAAATAAATGTGGAAATGAGATAAAGGTGGATTTGGGGAGGGGGGTAAATGAAGATGATCTAAGCAGAGAAAGTACAGTTGACACAGGCCAAAGACACAAAGAACCCCTAGTCTTTAGAATCAGAATTCACCAATGCATGCAGCCAGCCACCGATTCTGTACATATTTACTGAATATAAACTCTGAGCCTGTAGCTTTTCTAGTTGCTGGGCCTATGCTGTGACTATGAGATCCCTTCTTACATCAGCTTTGAGTTTTCGTGGCTAAAACTGCAATTGTCACACTCAGGGATCCCTGCTGCACTGGACAGAGTACTGACCCCTAGCCTTGGGTTTTTTCTATTTCTAGAGGAAAAGGAGCAACCAGCCCCATCTACTCTTGGGCTGTGGAGATGTGACATTACTTTGAAAGCATCTGCACAACACAAACAGCACTAAAATTTAATAAAGCTTATTTGTTTCCAATGTGAAGCAGGAGGTGCCTCAAGAACCCAAAGAACACATTGTGGTAAACACAAGGTAGGATGGGGGAAGTGTAGGAAGAAACACCCACCATCCTGGTATGTGAGCACCAAGAATGGGACTGTGAATCCAGCGCAGAACTTTGCGGGGAAACCTATAATCTGCTGAGGTGGAATAACAAGTGTGTAAGGAGGTCTCCTATCCACACAACAGGAGGGCAGGACAGTCTTCTCCTGCAGTGCTTTCTCCTCAGCCAGTTTACTGAGCTCATTACTTCCTGAACTTGGTTATCTATGCTCTCACCAGGAAAGAGGCAAATCTACCCTCCAGGGAGGTCAGGAGGATTACAGTGCTTTGCCTCATGCAAACAGACCCCGGGGAAAGAGACTTCACCACCCTGCTGTGCTGAAGATTGAGGTGCCCTCAAGGCCTGACAGTCAATTCTAAGCCAGACTCCTAGAGCAGAGGTACCACTATTTGCCTGAATTTATTTTCAGTTTCAGCAGTACATTCACTGTTTCTTGTTTCTCATATGGATTTAATCCCCATGGATAATAATTGTATTTGGTGGACCCAGCAAGCAAAATGCATGACCCAAGGCCTTCTGGTCCTTGACTGACTCAGTTCTCTCTCTACAGACAAGGAAGCAGGGCTCAGGGAAGCTAGATGATGAGCTAGTG